AGACGGTGTCCGGGAGAAAGTAAGAATTGCCTTGGAAATTCCCTATTTTAGCGATTAATCGATTATTAACGATTATCGCATCGATTTCGAACGTTCCTGAATGTTCTTCTTCTACACGTGATCAAAATCCACCTGACCTCTCGGGAAAAGATATGGGGAACCACTAACCTTGGCAGCTGACCTTCCAATTCTAGAAGTCGAAGGTCAGCAGAGACCTATAAATACAGACAGGTTCCTCAGTCGTTGTACAGTGTTCGTTGGCTGCGATTAATACGTTATTTGTCAGGGTCATTGGCGTTCTGCTTTTTCCTTCGGTTGGGCTAGAAGTTTTGCGGAGCAGTGAATTGTTATTTTTGGAGTTGCGTCTCGTGAGAAGATTATGACAAAAGCACAAGACAACATTGCATGAAGATAGATATTAAACAGGGCAGGAGCTAACACACAGCCTTGCTTCACACCAGAGACAACTGCAAAGTCATCCGAGGTCTCTCCACTCAACTGCACCCTCGCTCGCATACCACTGTGCAGACATTCAATTAAACTTACAAACTTACGCGGGCAACCAAACTTACCCAACACCAGCCACAGTGCCTCGCGGTTCACCGTATCAAATGCCTTGGTGAAATCAACAAAAAGCGAGTACAATGGCTGGTGTCGTTCTCTGCACTTCTCTTGCAAACACCATATCTATTGTGCTGCGACCCGAACGGAATCCACATTGCTCTTCCGCCACGTTTGGTTCCACAATCTGACTCACGAGGCGATTGAGCAGGATTCGGGCAATCACCTTGCCCACACAACTCAGCAAGTTGATGCTACGATAATTCGTGCAACATTGCTTGCTACCTTTGCCCTTGTACAGTGGTAGCACAAGGGCATCCTTCAGCTCAGCAGGCACCTCCTCCTCAATCCACACGCGTTGCACCAAGTGGTGCAGCGCAGTCAACAACGCGGGTCCGCCGTGTTTCAATACTTCAGACGGGATCCCGTCACCTCCGGCACATTTGCCGTTTCGCAGCTGAGCAAGTGCTCTCTGCGTCTCATCCAGTCTCGGCGTATCCGCCAGATCCGCCTTCACGTCGTGCTGCTTGAGGCCATTCAATGTAGGCCAGTCGATCTCTGAACGGTTGTTCAAGAGACAGTCAAAGTGTTAACGCCAGATCTGCATTATGTCTGCAGTCTGGGTGCAGGTAGCGCCTGAACTACCATCGATCATTGTCCTCAGCGACTCCAATCTCGGTCCATACACCGCCTTCAAGGAGTCAAAGAATTCCTTGTGTTGACGGCGTTCGGCGTAGCATTCAATCTGCTTCGCATTCTCCGTCCACCATGCATTTTTAATGCGACGGAGCTCTCGGGTCAGTCGCCGTCGAAGTTTGCGAAACTGACTCTTCTTCCCCAAGCCACTGGGGT